ACTACCTGTAATAGCTATGTTGGATCCTTGGTCTTTTCTAAGCTTAGTTATTTGCTTGCCTTATTACCTGACTAGGTAATATGTAGGTAAAATCAGTGTTAATGAGTATGTGGTTTGCTCCCTGTTTATATACAGTGCCGTGTCCTGCCAGTATTGGCAAAACTGTGGTTTTCTCCTTGATTAGAGTTTTTTTCTGCTTGATTATTGGTCTGGTGTTAATACCTGCTTATCTGAGTGTTGGTTGCTGGACAGGATATGTTCTGGTCTTTTTTATTTCTTTTTCAGCTTTTTTGTTTGAACGGTATGTCAATGTGGTTTAAGTCTATGTGTCTACTGATAGCTGATTTGTAGAATGCCAATCTTCCAGGAATTCCCTAGCAGTTTTGGGTTTTGTTTGGTCTAGGCTGCTGTTTCCTAGTTAAAAATATGATTGAGTCAGTCTATTAAGATTAAGGAGTTTTTGTTGTGTCTTCTGATTGCTAGTTGGTATTCACGGATGCGCTCTGCTAGTCTCCTGGCTGTATGTCCTACACATTGGCTGTAACAGTCCTTACAATGTAAGTTGTAGGTGATGCCTGTTTTTTGTGCTTGGACTGGATCTTGTGCTTTATTTGGGATGTTTTTGAAGGGCTTTAGTTGGCTTGTGTGCTATGGCAATGTCATGTGGTTGTAATAGTCTGTTGGTTGTTTCTAAGATATTATTAGTGTATGGTAGTGTTATCCTTTTCACAGCTTGTGTCAGTTGTGCTGTGGTGGGTTGAGTGGTCAGGCACTTTTTGATAAAAATAGCACAAGTACTCATTTAGTTGGAAGATGGTTCACTTTCCTGATGTTCAAGGTTGCTGCAGCATGTTTGTGCTCAACTAAATAGTGTTCTTACACAGCTTTTCTTATGGGAGGTGAGATTGTTACTGTAATAATGGATCACTTGTTTAGTATTAGTTGTTTTTCAATAGACTTGGCTTTCTAATTTGCCATCATTGCCTGTGCTGTTGAGGAAATCCAGGAAGGATAGCATGTTGTGGTTGTTTTCTCCTCATGTGAATTTTATTCCTTGGAATATGTTATTGATGTTTCATGTGCATTCTCTACTTGTTTCTTTTTTATTATGACAAAGCTGTTATCTTCATACTGGATCCATACTTTTGGCGGTATATGTGGTTTCATTATAGTGCTATAGTTTTATTATATCATACTGATTTTAATAAGTTTCCCATTTGTCATAAGCTAGTTATAATCTGTACAATATAATAATCTATCAGTATTGATTCTGCACTTGTCCTTTTTAGGCGTGTCTTTTTTCTTTTGTTTCATGTAATACATTTTTAACTAAATGCTTCCTTTCTCCTATGTCTCCTTTCTCCTTTCCAAATCATTCTCAGGTTATAGAAGAATTGAAAAGGACTAACTGCAGCTACATACTAAATAAATATGACACCTACTCAACAAAGGTATTTGGATTGTGCCCTGAAACCATATCTCCAGACAGTACAGTTTGGGGAGGAGGGTTCAGGGTGGGGAGTAATCTTTAAGATATCGTATTTTTCTTACAGTATTATTAGAATATGAGACAAATCACTTATTGAGCCATCTTAGAACTTCAAATACTAAAATCAGTTGTGATCCAAAGAGCAAGATGGAAGTCAATGACAATGGTGTCCTTTGAACATCCACCTGTTTTTTATGAGGTTTTTATTTTGCATATGCAAGATACCTGTAATAAAACACAGGTTGGAGGGGCCTCTTTGTCATGCAGGATTGACGGCAAGTGATTGTGTCTCCCCTAAAGCGATGCAATGGCCTTCTTAAAAAGTATCCAAGCCTGACTCAGACACAGTCAGAGATAATGCCTGTTTGGCCTATTTGAATTTAGTTCTTGAAGTGATGAGTGAGAACCTGACCCTCCCCAAATCAATCTGAATACTAATTGAACCGATATGCTTGCCATAAAGCATCACTGTTGATGACAAATGTAGTGAAGCACAACAAAAAAGGCATTAAGGGCATCATAGAAATACCAGATTTTCATCTTAGGACGAGCAGTAATTACACTATATGCTTAACTTTTCTGTGCTCATGTTGGCTTAACTCTAAACTGGCTAATGAGCATTCTGCCTGGTCTGAGCCACTTGGACTACAATTTGTAAAGGATTTGGTCTAATGGAGAGGGAGGCCATATTATATTTAATGAATGAGATGGAATATAATTAATTTAAAGAGAAAGCTACCATGTTGTCTCAATGAACAATCCCCTTCTGTTTTGTCCTCCCAAATTCTGGGTCAGAATTGCCAATACTTTCTTTTGTATGGGTAGATCTTAATAGGCATATACACTTTTATAAGTGTATCATTAAATTAAATGTATATATGCAAAGTTAAAGCATCAAAATGCAGGCATATACATGGACACAGAACTACAAATTTTAAAATATAGACTACCTTCCTTTTATAACCCTGCTTGAGATTTCTCCAGGCATTGGTCATATCATCTCAAGCTTTATCCCCTTTATTGAACATAATGTAACGGTAGTCTTCAACTTAAAACAGTTTGTTTAGTGACCATTCAAAGTTACAATGGCAGTGGAAAAAGTGACTTATGACTGTTTTTCACACTTATGGCCAGAGGTGGTATTTAGCAGGTTCTGACCAGTTCTGGAGAACCGGTAGCAGAAATTTTGAGTAGTTTGGAGAACCAGCAAATACCGCCTCTGACTGGAGATTTTACAGTATTCTTCTCCTGTCACGCCCACCAAGCCACGCCCACAGAACCAGTAGGAAAAAAAACTGAATCCCACCACTGCTTATGTCCACAGCATCTCTGTGGTTATGTGATCAAAATTCAGACACATGGCAGCTGACTCCTATTTATGATGGTTGTAGTGTCCCAGGGTGATGTAAATCAATTTTTGCAACTTTCTGACAATCAAAGTCAATGAGGAAACCAGATTCATTTAACAACTGCAGTGATTCATTTAACAACTATGACAAGAAGGGTCGTAAAATGGGATACCCACTTAACAATTGACTTGCTTAACAACAGAAATTTTGGGTTCAGTTGTGGTCGTCATCTGTAAATTGCTTTCAACAAAATGGAAGTTATTTAAGAGACAGATTATTCCCTGGAGGTCATTAATTAGAACAATAACAGTATGTTCTGCTTTGTGCTTAAACCCCTAACTCAACATCTCCTCAGAATTAGAAGAATTTGTCCCTATTTGCAGCCCACCAGTTACAATCTGAAATCAAGCTGCTTGCTCTGAAATGATGTTTTTGAACAATGTATTGCAGACAAATTTAAGGATTTCTCTCCCCAAACAGGAGTATCTAATTAAAGAAGGAAATCTGAGCCGCGGAGCTGTAGATATGATTGGAGACTTACTGAATGAAGATTCTAGCTATTACCTGTCTTTTATTGAGAGCCTGACAAGTGATGATCTCTTCTCTTACGAAAAAAGGTAAGCAAACCTGTATCACTTGCATTGTCCCAATTTAAAGATTAAATCCTTGTTTATCCATTGAAGGATCCATGGGAATCTGCAAGGGACCGGAGATAAAAATCTGCAGGAGGGCAGGCACATGGTCCCAGTCAAATCCTCCCTATATTGGTGTGGGAATGCACACAAACCCTTAACTCTTTGCTGCCAAATAAAGTCATGGCACAGTTATGTTGGATATAACCCAACATTAACCCAAACCACAAGCTAGCAACTGAAACCAAAACTAACTATTGCAGTTGCAAGAAATGGCAATTATCAGTAATGGTAATATTATCGGTAGATATTGATTTTTATATCAGTTAGAAATGGCATATGAAGTAGATTGTCATTTCTGCGGTCTTGTTCTATGTGTAACGTCTCCTCTGCTTTAGTTAAATCATTAGGTTGCCAGATATCCTTTTTGAAGCATCCTGAAAAACAAATCTTGGGACTAACATTCTGGATTGTAAAGATAGCATTTTATGTTAAATCATTCTACAAGGCACAAAGTATTACTCTTTGTATTTTATTAAAACACAATTAATTCTAAAATAGACAAAAAGTATCAGAATTTTGCAAACTTTGTTCGAATTGCAAATATTCACACAGTCAGTTTCTATATCAAGGCTTGTTGTATAGCATTTGCTTATCCAAACTATACACAACTCAATAGGAACTTAGTTGTTCATTTCAACTCAGGCATAAATTTCCCTTTTTATATTCTCCCTCATCTCAGATTTACGTAGTCATACTTGACAGATATTTCTGAGTAGACAACTTGAGATAATGCCATCTTTTCTTCCAAAAATAAATATTTTTACACAAAATACGTTAAAAATGTAAAAATATTTTATCAATATATATTTTCCTAGGATAAATTTGTATAGATAAAATGATATTGCCAATAAATTTGAAAGGCATTTTTAATCAAACTTATTTCATATTTCAGATGTCTGCTTATTTAAGAATTAAACAAAAGCATTATGATAGTAATATCTTTTGTTTAATGGCCCTTCCAGGTGAGATCCCTGATATAGTATCACTAGATATTGTAACATTGTAAGCCACCCAGAGACACCTCATGGTGAAATGGGTGGCAAATAAATTTGATAAGAAAAAATAATAAATAATAGATAGCAAAGTAAGAATAAAGCATATTTTTGCTTTCTTTCAAATCTGCTGTCAACTTCTTTTCAGAACTGTTTTCATTTCATTGTCCGGTGACTAAATGGCCTTTTATTCACTAATATCATTATCCAATTTTAGCAGAGCAGTTTTTTACTTCCTCTGTCCTGTTTGGTTTTGCAGATTTGATGAAATTGTTGGTGGATTTGATCAATTGCCTATATCCATGTATCAAGCCATTGCGGAAATGGTGCATTTAAATGCTCAAGTAATCAAGATACAACATAATGCTGAGAAAGTCAGAGTGGCATATCAAACTCCAGCAAAGACCTTGTCATATGTGACAGCCGATTATGTCATTGTATGCTCCTCATCAAGGGCCGCCCGTCGCATCTATTTTGAACCTCCCCTTCCACCAAAGAAAGCACACGCTTTGCGGTCTATCCACTACAAAAGTGGCACCAAGATCTTCCTCACTTGCACTAAGAAGTTTTGGGAGGCTGATGGCATTCATGGTGGGAAGTCCACAACAGATCTTCCATCTCGATTCATCTACTACCCTAACCATAACTTTACTAGTGGCGTTGGAGTTATTGTGGCCTATGCCATTTCTGATGATGCCGATTTCTTTCAAGCTCTTGATATCAAGACCAGTGCTGATATTGTTATTAATGACCTTTCACTCATCCATCAGCTGCCCAAGAAAGAGATCCAGGCCCTCTGCTACCCCTCAATGATTAAAAAATGGAGCCTGGATAAATATGCTATGGGTTCTATAACCTCTTTCGCTCCTTACCAGTTTCAAAATTTTATTGAAACAGTCGCTGCACCTGTAGGCAGAATCTACTTTGCAGGGGAGTACACTGCCAGAGTTCATGGTTGGTTGGACAGCACAATTAAGTCAGGGCTGACAGCAGCAAGAGATGTGAATCGTGCTTCTCAGAAGCCATCAAGAATCCAGCTGATCAGTGACAATCAACTTTAAGAAGGAGGTCAACACAAGGAGAATCCTAAACAGCCACCTTCCCCATTCTGGCAACTTCCAGGTGTTTCAGACTAAAATTTCCAAAATACCAACTGGGAATTCTAGAAGCTGTAGTCCCAGGAGTTTGGAGCTAGAAGGAATTGGGGGAAGTAAGCTGATTTGGCCTAACTAAATTATCAAATTATATCAGCCAAAACATGTCAAACTAAGAGCATTTTAGGGGAAACAAAAATAAACCACAGAATGAAAAGGATTACTAGCATGTCACCCCAATTTGGAAAGGAAATCCTCTCAGGAAAATCTATATATACCACAAAAACTCTCATTTCTGTAACCTTTAAGTGGGCGAAACAGTGCATTATAGGGCAAGAATTTTTGAACCAAAAATACCTCTAGTGGGCTAACTTACAAAATGCATCCAAAATCCAGAACCCATGATTCTCCTGGAAGTAAAATTTGGCAAATTTTATGAAACATTTTATGAAATGATACAGTTTCCTGCTTGAGTGGGAGGTTATATTAGAAGACCTCTAAAGTCCCTTCCAACTCTGTTATCCTGCAATAAAAAGTATCATAAAAACAGCTTCTGTTATAATACAAGATGCCATAAAACATTTACTGTGCTGATGTTTTACTGTGCTATACAGTTCACCATGCACTATTTTCAAGGCAGATACAAAAGTTGAGAAAGTGTCCCAACTTTTCAGTGAAGGTAGTACATTAGCTCTGCCATTGTTCAAGTGATTGAAGAATCTAGTAAAGAACTATTTCTAAAGGGATGACCAACAAGTCATGGATTGTCTAGTGCTGCAATAAAAACAGGATCCTCCTGTTGCCCTTTCCAAAAAGGAAAGGAAAAGAAACAGGCAATTGTTGTTAAGGTGGCTTTGTGAGTTTATGCTACTACTTCATTTTAAAATATCTCATATGTATGACCATATTTCTTTGATACGTAAAGCATCTACTGGTCCTAAGCTTTGATTCTATATTTCCTGCAATTGTCAAAAATTGCCAGTGCTACAGTGTCACTGATGGGGAAGAAAGCACATTATGGCATCAAGCAGGCCTGTAGACAACCGTAATTTGTAACTTCTCCAGTTTGCAGCCTTCCTGTGACTAGAGTTTTAGAAAACCAGGAATACAGAAAATGGTAATAAAAACATACATTATAATTTTCCTTGCCTCTTCAATTTGTTTGTTTATTTCTGCTTTGGCTTGGGCCGAGAGATGGAGAAATCCCTGGGACTCTAAACTGGCTAAACCAGTTTAAATTAATCTGGTTTTAAATTAAAATTAAATTATTTTTTAAAAATAAAACCACTTTTTAAAAAATGCAACATGCTTTGCATTTAGAACTGCTAATTATTAGAAATTCTGTATAAGAACAAACAAGCAGTACAGTCAACATGTGCTTTACTGCTCAACTGTGTAACTGTAATAGGAAACGCTTCTTAGACCAAAAGAGCATAGAGTATATACCATAGATCTAAACTGTTAAATACTATCATCTACTGGCTAAATACTACTGTAGTTGCATAAAATACATTCCAACAATGAGTTCCAACACTAATGAATAGTGTATGGGTGGGAAGAAATCTTAAATGAATGAAGTCTACAGTCTCAAAAAGATAATGTCATCTGGTTGCTACTGCATGTTGTCAACTTTCACAATCCAATTGTGCAGACCAACTGTAGAATTCCCAGGAGTAGACAGAAATTAACAGCTAAAATAGGGGAAGCTACTATCTCCTTGAAGCTTCTTCAAACAATCATGTATCTTCTTGTTAACTTTCAACCATGTTAGCTTTTCTGATGAGCAACTTTTGAACAAGCTGACATGCTATTGCAGGGGTGTCAAACTCATGGCCCGTG